GACAGACGCACAGACGGACGGACGGACGGACGCATGGACAGAACCCAATCTATAAGCCTTCGGCAGACTTAGTCTGCGAAGGCTAACAAAATCCATCCATGCATGACTGAGATCCGGTTCCGGAATTGTGAAAATACGTGATTTTGATGCATTATCGGCCTTAAAATGGCCATCATTCAGCTATTGTTAAGCGAATCATGAAACAAATGCACATACATATTTGTGACATGATGTACCTTGTGTGTGTGAAGTTTGAACTTGATCAATCCAGACATGTCTTGGATACGGATCCAGAACTGAATTCTTTAAAACAAAATGGCCGCCAGTCGGCCATTTCAAACCCGATCCAAAAAAAAAATGACGTGCATCAAGGTCCTATTATGTTTAATGTATGTACCAAATTTGAACAAAATCCGTCCATGCATAACTGAGATCTGGGTCTGGAATGGTGAAAATGTGGCATTTTGATGCATTTTCGGCCTTGAAATGGCCGCTATTCGGCAATCGTTAATCGGATCATAAAAAAAATGCATGTGCATATGTCCCATATAATGTGTGATGTATGAGTGAAGTTTGAACTTAATCGGTCCATGCATGTTGGAGATACAGGTGATCACAGACGGATGCACGCACGCACACAGGGCAAACCATAAGTCCCCGTTTTCGGACTACGTCCGAACGGGGACTAAAAAGTTGACGCCGACGAACAATCAGTAATATGTGTCGACAACTGAGCTAAAAGTCTAGTGAGCATTGTCCTAAAGAATCTATGTATCAAGCTTCATTACACATACCAATCAACCTGATTAGATCAGTTAAACTGACTGCAAATCCCCCCTATTTTGTCCTAATTAATACCACCACTGTCCAGTCACCGAAAAGTTTCTAGCATGACAATCTTAGTACCAACAGTACAAGAATTCAATTTAGATGCTAAATGAGTATCCACATATTTACAACAAAAACATGAGGCAATGCATGACGTTCAATCAGTAAAATAAGATTAGCTCCACTTCGTCAACAGCACAGCTAACAAAAGTTGGCTGAGCCATCTCCATGCTGACAAAAGTGTTGACACAGGACTCTAACTCAATTTATATGAAGGGACTACATCTTTAAAGTGGGACAGCAAATTTTTACTGAAGCAGTGACTATATTTTGCATAAATTAATATTTGATTTTGCCAGCTAAAAACAAATCAAATTAAACTCACCTCTTCACTTTGCCTGCTTAAGGTTTCAGAAAACACTGTTAGATCAGCATCCTGTAGAGAGATATTATTATATCACATCTTGTTATGCATATTATATATAATTGGTAAAAAATTATACATACAATAAGGATATAGTGCATACAGTAGATGAATGATGTATCTAAAACCGCTACATATATTTCACATTGTTCACCTGCTATACAGAGGGATAAATCAGTTACCAGCTAGTTGTGCTACACGATTCAGAAGGGTTTTGAAGACAATCTGTTAAGAATATGCAAATGCCGATCTGGGAGCTCTTAGCTAGTAGACCAATTTATATGAAAAGACTACTTCTTCAAAGTGGAACAGTGCATTTTTACCGAAGCAGTGACCATATTTGGCATAAACTAATATTTAATTTTGCCAGCTAAAATTAAAACAAATTAAACTCACCTTTACACATTGAATTCTTAAGGTTTTAAAAAACAATTCCAATGGTGTATCAGCATCCTGTAGAGAGAGATATTATATCACATCTGTTATGCATATTATATATAATTGGTAAAAAGTTATACATACAATAAGGATATAGTGCATACAGTAGATGAATGATGTATCTAAAACTGCTACATATATTTCACATTGTTCACCTGCTATACAGAGGGATAAATCAGTCACCAGCACCCGATTCAGAGTGGTCTGAAGACAATCTGTTATGCAAATACTGATCAGAGAACTCTAAGCTAACTTCCATGCATTTTATTTGTCATCAGATCATGTGCTGACAGCAGGGTACTGTAGTAATTACTAATAAGTGTGACGTAAACTAGAGTGATTGACGGCTTCTAGCCAGTCTACTTGTTTATTACAGTATTTATCCGGGTAAGCGCCCATTCCCGGGCAAACCCCCCCCCCCAATTTTGATACAATAAAGAAGTGTTCGCCGCTGTTTACATTTATTTTTCAAGAATCTTCATCAGAATCATAACAGGCAGCAAGTCTACAAAAAATGTACATTAAAGGGAAAACGATAGTTCCGTTTTTGAAATGTCGTGGCTCTGAAAATGGACGTTTGGTTTGTGTTTCCTTAGAAACTATTCAGGCAAATCAAGCATCATCATCAATGAAACCGATATTGCAGTATTGTAGCAACCCGTACCTGGGACAGTGGTTGAAAGCATGTTGTTTTGGCATATAAAATATTTGCTAGCAGCTTGTGAATCCATAACTGGGACCAGCCAAAGACTTCCAACAAAAAATTCTTCCTATTTCAAGCCCACCGCGATATCTATAATGAGACATTCCAACCAAGGGAACTTGCTGTATGGTAACTTTCACCATGATTGATGAGCGCCTAGTCTGATAACAAAGCTATATTGATTGGACCTCTATGATGAAACACTAGTAGTGATGTCATTCTTAGCCAATCAGTAAAGCAGATGCTTAAAGGTCACAAATAATTGCCAGATGGTAAACAAGAGGCTGAAGAGCATCGTGTGAGTCGTATTCCGTGACCCTATTTTTCGTTTTATTCTGATTAGACGTGAATTAAAAGTGCCAAGCTGACAGACAGTGAAATCAGCGGGTTAAATGTGCTAAGTCCAAATTGTGTGGAACGACATCGTGAACTTCAAGACGAAGCTGTAGGGATTTTGTTCGATCGCGAACAGTGACACCGACTTAAACTTGGAGCAATGAACGTACAAATAGAGATCTGAGATGTTTTTTTTCAAACAACTATGAACTTTCGTAATTTTACTGTGTAAATTATATGTATGGCTGTTGATCTGGTATTTGTCAAAACCGGAAATAATTTTACGCATTTAACCCCTGACATTTTAATTCATTTTTAATTCTCGCGTATTGGGAGTGTTTGTCGACAGGGAAATTCTAATTCAATGATTCTTCACTGTCGATTTTTATTATTTCTGGTTTAATTGTCACATTTTAAGCAATAAAATAATTCTTGTTACACTTCTAATGCTGCATATTGTTCATTTATTTCCGTTGTATGTCTTCATTTGACATTGTATTTCCTGTCACAGTTCAATCTGCGTGTTGTCAATTTTCGCGGATTTTCGTTTTTTTTTTTTTTTTTTTGGAGGGGGATGTCCGGGCAAACGTCCACCCTCATATTTGGACAATTTTCCATGTTCAGGACCCTGGGCGCTTACACAAATAAATAAGGTAGTCACTGCCAGACAGCTGCACATTGCATAGCGCTGCTGTGCTTGGACACAGAAAGATGGAGTGAAACAAGGTGTTGTACACCTGGTGGGTGATACCAGTATAACCTATTTTGTCCAAGTTCAACAAATATTCAACAGTGTGTCTAATTGGCAGTGACCAGTAAACATGTGGACTGACTGGAAGCAGTCCCTCCAGTTTACTTCAGTGTCACATGAATCAAAAATGAATAATGACAGGTATTATTTCACTTACTGAGTTCACAGCGTATAAATTAGAACCTCCATTTATCAGAACTTTTGCTACAGATATATTCTCTTCACTGAATGCCATGTGCAGTGCTGTATTACCATGCTGAAAGGAAAAAAAACTCAAATGAGTCAGCCAATTTGAATCAAAACATTAAACAAATTACTAGTAAATGATGTATAACTTAGTAAACTTTGATTGCAATCAGTCAATGTGCATGTCAGAATGGCTCTAGAACAGCATTTGCAGTCAGTCATTTTGAATCCCATCTGAAAAAAATTATGGTCCTGTTATATACATGTACATTGTATGTACCAAAATGAACAATAGCTGTCCATGTATAACCAAGATCTGGGTAAAACAAATAAATGGCCAAACGTGTGATTGATCAGGGCATGTCAGAGAAATTGCTCCAAAACAGTATTTGTTGAATCCGATAAAAAAAATGATGTGTACCAAGTTTGAACGAAATCCATCAATACACAACCAAGATCTGGTTCCGAAATGACAGAAATGCTTGATTTTGATTAATTTTAAACATAAAATGACCACCATTTAGCGATCCTGAAAAAGATCATGAAACAAATAGATGTGCATGCATTACGAGCTGTATGATGTACGTGTAAAGTTTGAATGTGATCGACCCAGGCAAGTTGGAGATGGAGGAGAGTACACACAATATCGCCGTTTTTGGACTGCATCCTGAATGGAAACTAAAAATGATATTATATTATGTAGTCTTGGTTGGCACATTGATTGCATTTCCTAACAATGAATATAGTTAACAAGCATCCGTGAAATGTTGCCTGGGAGGTACATGGTTTATGTCACAGGACATGCATGGTACCTTCATATGTCATTTTTTTTTTTTCATGGGTTATGTTTATGTCAGTCATAGCATGTCTGAGAAATTACTCCAGACATAGACAGATTGAACTCAAAACTGACAAGGACTAATAATCTACAAAATAGTGATGGGTGAATTATGCTTTTGGTTCAATATGATACATGGTTACATGGTCTTTCATATAACTTATCCACATTTGCATATTTTATCTGGTGGCACGAGAAGAAGATGTCTTCGAAAATATCAAACAGGGTCCATAGCACCAAGAGCCAAATGATTTTCCAGACCTTTTTTCAAACTTTCTTGCATTTTCTCAGGACATTTTGACCCTTAATTCAGGCCAACATGGTAGAAGGGCAGGCACGGGGGTAGCAATCACTGCTGACACTTTTTGGAACTGGGGTAGAAACACTTTAAAAAACAAGCAGCCTGTCGGCTGAGATAGCTCCGTTGTTAGCAATACACATTTCAATTAAAGCAAGAAGTCGAAAATATCACTTTTTACCAAAAATATGCACCAAAATTAGAGAATTGAAGACATCATCACGAAATGAACAAATCTGAGAGAAGTCCACATGTAGTGCCTATATATGTAATATCAAAGC